TGCCGGCGATCGCTGCGCGCGGGTTCCGCCGGCGATGATGGTGGCGGCGGGAGATGGTGAGATCGGCGAGAGGATGGTGATGATTGAAGAAAGAAAATCGCGAGGACGATGGAGGAGAGATGATGATCGACGATGACGAAAGAAAACTCACAGAGAGAAAGAAAAAGGAACAAATCGCGATCAGGCGTGAGAGATTAAGCGAGGGGAAAGGGATAGAGACAGCGGCGTGTTGTGTTTGAAGGAGAGAATTGTGTCGATCAGATAAAAAAAAGAAAAATAGAAATAGACTAGGGTTTAGAATTCTTATTGCCCAAGACAAGGACCCACACGTGAAAAACAAAAGGGGGAGAAAATCTGTCGGGCCGGGCCCGAAAAGTTGGGCCAGATGGATTTTTGGGCCGGTTGGGTCATCAAATCGGCTCACGGGCCCGATTACAATTCAAACGGATATTCTCGGGCCCAATTTCGGTTCCAACGAAAATTCTCGGGCTCGATTTCGAATGCAAACGCGCGATAAAATAAACCGAACAATATACATATATGTATTTCCATATTTTGAAATACACATTAGTAATTAAATATATCATAAAATCAATTAGACAATTACACATTTAGCATTTAATCACATTTGACAATTAATAAATATTTTGGCACTCAATATTAATATTAATAACATCACAATAATAATAAACATCAATGATAATAATAATAATAATAATAATAATAATAATAATAACAATACTTCAAATAAACCACAAATAAATGGGGCATTACAAATACACATCATTTCATTGAATGACATACTTCATCTCATAGAATCATCATACATGACTACTCCAAATTCTACCTATATGTTTTAACTTCCACTATTTTTCATCCAAATCACGTGTGAATGATCCCCGTGTCATGGTAAGGATTAGCGAAATCACGATTCCTAAAATAGTACCTGTTTTATCCAAAATAGTACGACATCTTCTTCTTCTACGTGATACCTGTTTTGATTGATTAGTACCTACTTTTGTGAAGGAAAATGGATTATTTCAATTTTGTCAACATTTACAAAAAGTAGTACCAGAAATAGAGTAAGATAGTACTAGTTTTATATTGTTGTAGTACCTTGTTGTTGTCTAGAATTAACAACATAAAATTAAATACAACTGATGTGTCGATGATATTGAGATAAGTGTGTAACTGGATTTTATTTGATGGTCAAAAGAGTACAGAAGTCGGTTTAATTGTTGAAAACCGAGATCATCATAAGTCATGTACAATGTGTTCGAAAACAGATCGCCCTCCGTACTATCATAAATTCTGCTATTTATAGTACGGTAATTTTTGTCTTCTTGCTCGAAATGGATAAAGATACATTTAATGTTGAGCTGCTTCACTTTAAGCGGTGGGAAACATCAATGATTGCTTTTCCCTTTTGTTGGTCCAATCAGATGCTTCCAGCTTCGTTTTCTGTTGGAATATTTGGACTTTGTGATAGTCGGTTTAGATTGGAATCGGTTTACGTGCATTTGTTTCAGATGTCGGTTCTTTTGAAGATCTTCAGAAGTCGGTAATTTTTCGGAAGTCGGTAATTAATTCTAATTAATACCGACCTATCTTAAGAAGTATTTTTTCAATAAAACAATTAATCTCCGCCTTCAACCTTTGTGACCAAGTCGGATATCAACTGTGCCGGATATCAACATACCTGATATTGGGTCTTTAGTACCACTTGTAATAAACATAAAACAACACGGAATTTTGGTCTCAAATGATGTTTATATGACTCATTATCACTCTCACATTAGTTTCTATGAGATTTAAAACGTGTTTGATTAAGTTTAATCGCAAATTGACCACGAATTCAACACACTAATGAAAAAACACTACTAATACACTCCATCTCATTAAAAGACACACTTCACCTCATTGAATGGTCATACATGATTACTCCAAATTTTACAAATATGTTTTAACTTCAACTATTTCTCAACCAAATCACGCGTGAACGATCCACGTGGCATGGGGGGGGGGAGGGGAATTTCGTTGTTGAGCTTGACTTTTGTTATTGTGTCGCAATAAGGCCTAAATTTTTAACTTTTTCATTTGAAGGTTTCAATTTTAAGTTATTCTCAATATAAGGCCTACTTTTAGATTCTACTTTTCAATTTAAGACTCCATATCAATTTGTATTTTTATATAATTATGTAAACAACAATACTTTTTTTTTAAAATTTATTTTTTAAGTACTTATAATTAAAATATTAAATATCTTTAGTAAAATTATCTAATAAGATAATTATTTCATAATTTACATTTATGCTAAAACTTAAAATAAATATTAACTTAATTTTAATCTAAATATGTGATAACAATAAAATATAAACTACTTAGAAAAATAGTTTTATTTTTTGTAAATAAACTTATAGAAAATATTATTTGTGAATAAAACTACCTACAATAGAATTTTTCGGGTACTAATTTTATATATTTTAAATTTTTCAAAAATATAAATTTTATTCACAAACAATATTTTCTAAAATTTTATTTAAAGAATAAGTTTATTTTTCTAAATAGTTTATATTTTAATGGTATTACATATTTAGATTAAAATTAAATTAAAATTTATTTTTTATCTTGTAAAATAAATATTTAAATTTTTAACTTTTTAACTTTCAAAAAATTTATCTTTTTAACTTTCAACAAATAAATATTTATATTTTTAGTCCTTGGCGCACGGGATTTCACAATAAATAATATAATCTCGCCTTAACGGCCATTTATATTGAAATTATATTCCTTTTACTGATTTAAAATGTTTATAACGTAATTCGTCGCGTTTTGCCTCATATACTACGCATCGTAAGTAGAAATTCGTGTTGCGTAAGCTATTAGAGTATAAAATTTTGTTTGTTAGAAATATCATGTATTTGCATATAATAAAATTGGGTTGTTAATTTTAAAAAATATTTTAGTAGTATTATATGGCACTAAATTTTAGAATAAAATAATGTTGAGTATAATGATTAATAAAATGAGGTCAGTTTTATTTTGGCATGAAATGTCCAAATTTAAATGATATGAATTTCATTTGGTATGGATAGAATTGTATTTAATTTTGAAAATAAAATAAGTGGTATGAATTTTATTTGGTTTGGGTATGAAAGTCGAATTTAGGTTGATTTGTTATAAAATCAAGATGATATAATTCTCAATAATTAGCATATTCCTATAATAACTTGTCATAAGATAATTCATACGCTATTTTAGGCATATTCCTACATATACATGTTCGGTTTTAGGCTTGAGAATTACCATAAACTATTTTAGTTTTTTTTTTTCTCAAATTACTATATACTTCTCTTACTCTTCCTTATTTAATTCATATAATAATTATTATAATAAATATGTATTCTTTTATTTTTAAACCCTTATAATTTTTTTATTTTTATTTTATTTTTGTATGTTAAAATAATCATATTTTAATGATCTTCGATTTGGCATCCATATTGCATATATAAAATAAAAAATAATTACGTTTATCAATATAAATAAAACTATATTTATTAAAAAAAAAATTTCAACAATATGAATACAACATAAATTATTTTATAACAAAAATAATAAAAATATAATTCAGTAATACACCACAAACTAATTATTTTAATGCCTTTTATCATAGATTTTAAATAAAATAATAAAATTAAGTGAAAAAATACGGACCCCATTTTGAATTAATTATTACTTTGTTAGTTATTCATAATTTTTATATATTCATTATACATAATTTTACAATATAAAAATAAATTATTTTATTTTTTCTATTGTACAAATATTAATATATTTACGTACCCGTGTAGTACACATGTATCGTACTAGTTGATATATATTTCTCTTGAAAATTAGATAGATCTTTGAATAAATATTTTTTAATAAAATTTAAATTATACAATTTAATTTTAGAAAATTATTTGATAAATTTGAACGACATAAAATATAGATTTATAGATTTCGTATAATATAAATTTATATGAAATAAAGATTAGTAAAATATAATTTTTTTTAATTTTGACAATTTATACAAAAATAAATTTATACTAATTAATAAAAAAATTAAGAAAAATTAGTAGTAGGAGAGACAAATAGTAGAAGATGATAAAAAGAAAGTAATAAAAAAATGTGGAAAAAAAAAAGAAAAGAAAAATTAATAAACAATTAGAAAAGTTAGTAGTGGAGAGAGAGAAAACTAATAAAATAATATGTTATGTTGGTTGTAGTGAGATGATGTAATAAGTGATTTTATTTTTGATTTAATTTTAACACTAGGGAGCTAGGAGAAAGAAAATTAAGGGGGTAGGGAGTGTAGAGGAAAAAAAATTGTAAGAGGGACTGAGGATGAAGTTTAAAAGTGGATTGAGGATTTTTAAGGAAGTTGCCCTAAAAATAACATAATTTTTATATTTCAAATATTAAACCATCTTGTATTTATTCTACTTAAAAATAGCATTAAATGTAATTATATTTTTTATATTTTAAAAATTAAACTATGTATCAAAATTTGTATTTACTTGATACACAAAATAACATTGAATGTAATTACAATTTTTATATTTTATAATTAAACTACGTTGTATTTACTTAATTATTTTTTTTTTACGTAATTATTTTTTTCTTTCCAAAATTTATTCCTAATTAATACATGTACACATCCAAGAAAAGTAAAGCATTAGAAATAGTTTTACACAGTTATTTTATACCATGTCAACATTGGTGTTATAAAAATCACAATCCAATTTATTACTGCCATGTGACATGGATATTATTACATTGACACCCATAAATTGGAGATGCTCTCACCCAATCTCGCATGACATCCCTAAAAAATTCATCCACTCTAGTCACCAACAAGTGGATAAGGTAGCAGGTTTTTTTCATCTACAAGTTTCACACAGATCACAAAAAAATCCTTCAACTAATTAATTCCCATTACTACCCACTCTTAATTAAATATGCTGCTACTCTTGCCACCATCTCCCTCGCTCCCCATCACTCGCAAATCCGGGCAGCCGTTGCTTAAACTACGTGTCATGGCCAAGCAAAACAAATCGGAAGGAAGCCCTACGGAGACGGTCGCCTCCCTGGGCGGGCTCGTGGCCATCCCTGTAATTGGGTGGTCTCTTTACACTCTCAAGACAACGGGCTGCGGGCTTCCGCCCGGCCCTGGCGGATCTATTGGCGCGCTAGAAGGAGTGAGCTACCTCTTGGTGGTGGGCATCGTTGCTTGGTCACTGTACACCAAATCAAAAACGGGTTCAGGCCTTCCTAACGGGCCGTTTGGTTTGTTGGGAGCTGTCGAGGGCCTGTCCTACCTATCCTTGCTCGCAATTATCCTTGTTTTCGGACTGCACTACTTTGAGCAGGGTTCCATTCCTGGCCCGCTTCCCACTCAACAATGCTTTGCTTGATTCATCTTTTAATTGTTATAACCATAGTTTTGTATTCACTATTGATTAGGTTCACACATTTACAATTAATGTCCTTTCATCTTGTATCCGTTTCATGTTGACTATTATTTTAATCACAATTGTGAGTTGCAGCTTGTTGCGTGTTAAAAATTTAAATAATACAGACTCAGTTGTACAAATAAATTAATACAGATTGGATGAAATGGATTATTTTCAGACATNCAAATAAATAGATTTAAGTCTATAATGACATGGACAAATTCAAGCAAAAAAAATCTAAAATCTATCAAATGCAAAAAGAAAAATACTAGGTCTAGAATATCTAACAACTAATAAAAATATAATAATAGTAAATGATTGCTATTGTAAGGTTCACACTTGGATTCAAAATAGACCCAAGGGTGGACTTGGTCTCTTTTTTTTTATTGCTACATAAGCTAGACTAAGTCCACTTTTAGTTGTATTGTGAAACACTTTTTTATAAACTATGTCTATTTCCTACATGGCATGTGATTTTTTTTTAGAGAGACCAAAAGCGGCTAATTCGATGCTGCAAGTAATTGCACTGCATTTACCTGCTCAAAGCTTGACACGTGTCTCTTTCTTTTTTAATTATTTTATTTTTCTTCATCCATTAAAATACTGATATTTGTGAACAGGGTTAAGAAAAAAAATGCCATCTTCCCAAACATTTCAATGGCGCCACTTCAAATTTTTTTCACCTCCTTCCAATTTAAATGAGCGCCACTTTTAAAATTTTGAATCCTAAAATTTGAAATTTCACAACCTACTATATAAATAACCTTCAAATATTTTTTATATGCATATATGTGTTTTTTTTAGATCTGAAGAAATTTATATAAACTCTTCCTTCTTTTCTTCACCTCAATAAATCTTCTCAACTTGTAGTAAAACATAAATTCGACGGGTTTATATCGCCGTCAAGAGTGACCTCCGTCGAGATTCACGTGATTCCTTCGTCTCGCACCATCAGAATTATAGTCGTAGATCTATAATCTCTGAGATTCTGTTGTCGCCGGGAGTACCATGAAATAGTCGCAGATTTAAAAGGATTTAATATACCTTCTTCCTTATTTTCTTGTTGCAGTTGCTTTGAATCTGCCCTGGCTATGCATCAAATTTTGTTGCAGATCTAAGAATGAACGAGGGGTTGGGGACTTTTATTGGGTTGGGTTGTACTTTTGTGTTGGGCTATAATACATATTGGGCTTAGAATTTTTTTTTTTTTTTTATATATATATTGGGCTATAAGACTTAATTGGCTCACAAAGTATTTTTTATTGGGCCAGATTTGTAATTGAATTTGAGCTATGCAATATTTATTAGGCTAAGAAATCATTTTTTACTCCATGGTATAATTGGGATATCATACTAGATTAGACCTTTATTTCATTTGGCTATTAGACACATATAATACTTATTAGGCTAAGAATGTTTTTTTTACTCCGTTTTCTTCAAGTTGGTTATCCTAGATTAGATTTCTATTGTAATTGGCTATTAGTTTAGTATTTGTGTTTTGCTATTAAAATTTGGTAATTAACTATTTGTATTTTTACTAATTCTTTTTGTTTGTCATCAAATGTGATATGTTTAAACTATTATTTGTGTTTTACTATATTATTTTGTACTAGTACAGTACCCGTGCGATGCACGGGGGTTTATTGTCCCCGTCTCTTTTAAAAAGCAATTTTCAATTAAAATTCAAAGTACTTACTAAAGGAAAGATCATGTCATTAATAATAAATAAATATAATGAAAATAAAATCTATATATTATTGAACATTTCTTTATATACAACGTTCATGGTTTGATTCTTTGACACGTAATCGTCGCCACAAATTAGGATTTTCAAACTATTTATGTTTGTGACACGGGAGACAACAACATACAACTGGCCATGAGAAAATACTGGTTTTTCTTAACAAATAAGCCCTCATGCAAATAATTGTCTCTGGCTCTTATTTATAGTCATGGCGTAAGAAACCATAATGAGAAACTGTCGATGCTGAAACTTGAAAGGAATTCTAACATCAGAAGGAAATATAGTCATTCTTGGAATCAACACTTTATCACTTGCGTGATTGCCAGTGAGTATCTTGCACTCGAAAACGTGAGTGGAGAGCTTTGTGACAACCAATTGTGTCTCATTACACAGACCCATAGAGCATATATGGTTACAAAATATCAAGTTAAAAACGATCGGATAAGCTTAAGAAATAAGATCACGCTTATCAATCCTATTATTCAAACCCTTATTCGAGTAGTTACTTGTTTTCTAGATATATATTTGTAACAACCATTAGTAGTTTGGATAATGTAGATTATATAAATCAATAAAATACTGGTATAAAATATAAATTCAAAATTGATTTACGTCATGTTTTTTGTAGGATTTATTTTCTTAAATAATGTGATTACGATCGACTTCAAAAAATATGTTTATTCGTTTTTGTTAAAACAAAAACAAAAACAAAAAATGTGCAACGTGTTACATGTGTCTCGAATTTTGTCGGTTATTGAAAATTATGTGTCATATCAATGTGACATAATGTTACCAAAATTAATAGAGATTGTTACAATTTAATTTGGCAAGGCTTTTTGGATTGATTGAAAAATAATGTTTTTATTTTGATATGTCTTATTTATCAAATCTCAAGAATTTTTTATTTTTTTGCAATATTTTAACTCCAAACAATCCGAACAAATTGTGAAATTTGTTACCAAAATAAATCGCAAAGATTATCGACAATATATTGTGTGTAAATAACTATGAAGTGTGTTACAAAAAAAAACCAATATTTTAAATGATTTGTTATCAAAATCCGAGATTTGTTATCACAATCAGATCAAATTTGTTAACAAAATCAGAGATTTGTTATCAAAATAAGATCAAATTTGTTACCAAAATTCGAGATTTGTTATCAAAACCCGATCAAATTTGTTACCAAAATCCAATTAAATTGGTTGACATGTGGGGCCCATTGATATTGCTTATATTAGTAAGTCAACAATTAAATTTTTATTTTAAATATTAGGTGACATATCAATGTGACATAATGGTTTTACCAAAATTAATTGAGTTTGTTACAATTTAATTTGGTAAGGCTTTTTGGATTGATTGAAAAATAGTATTTTTATATTGATATGGATCGTTTATCAAATTTCGAGATTTTTTTCTGCAATATTAAACTCCAAACAATCCAAAAAATTTTTGAAATTTGTTACTAAAAGAAATCCCAAAGATTATCGGCAATATATTATGTATAACTAACTATGAAATGTGTTACCAAAAAAACTGATTTTTTAAAAGATTTGTTATTAAAATTCAAGATTTATTATCACAATCCGAGATTTGTTACAATTAGATCAAATTTGTTAACAAAATCCGAGATTTGTTATCAAAATCCAACCAAATTTGCTACCAAAATCCGATTAAATTTGTTGACATGAGGGGGCCCATTGATATTGTTTATATTAGTAAGTCAACAATTAATTTTTTATTTTGAATATTATGTGTCATATCAATGTGATATAATATTTTACCAAAATTAATGGAGTTTCTTACAATTTAATTTGGTAAGGCTTTTTGGATTGATTGAAAAATAATATTTTTATTTTGATATGTATCATTTACCAAATCTTGAGATTTTTTCTACAATATTTATCTCCAAACAATACGAAAAAATTGTGAAATTTGTTACCAAAAGAAATCCCAAAATTATCGGCAATATATTATGTATAAATAACTATGAAATGTGTTACCAATAAAGCAATATTTTAAGAAATTTGTTATCAAAATTCGAGATTTGTTATCACAATCGAGATTTGTTATAAAAATCCGATTAAATTTGTTGACATGTGGGACCCGTTGATATTGTTTATATTAGTAAAATCAACAATTAAATTTTTATTTTGAAGATTATGTGTCATATCAATGTGACATAATGTGTACCAAACTTAATGGAGTTTTTTACAATTTAATTTGGTAAGGCTTTTTGTATTGATTGAAAAATAATATTTTTATTTTGATATGTATCATTTATCAAATCTCTAAATTTTTTCTGCAATGTTTAACTTCAAACAATCGAAAAAATTGTGAAATTTGTTACCAAAAGAAATCCCAATCTGTGTAAATAACTATGAAGCGTGTTACCAAAGAAAAACTGATATCTTAAAAGATTTGTTATCACAATCCGAGATTTGTTATCACAATCAGATCAAATTTGTTAACAAAATTCGAGATTTGTCATCAAAATAAGATCAAATTTGTTACCAAAATCTGAGATTTGTTATTAAAATCAGATCAAATTTTTTTACCAAAATCCAAGATTTGTTAACAATAAGCCAATGATATACCATTTTTGATTTATAGGCCAATGGGGAGCCGAGATTGTGGCTCCTTATTGCGCTTTTGTATGCCGACTTTTGGTCGTTTGTACACCAGTTTTGATTTATGAATTTACATTTATTGATAAAAAAAATGAAATACCATTAAATTAAATATATAATTGAAGTAAAGTTTGTGCATTAGCAGTGGTGTAAAGTCAGTCCATTATTAAAATTTTAATGATTCCGTCCGAACAGGGCCCAGTATATTTCAAAAAATCTGATCTATTATCATTTGATTAAACTCGGTCCATAAACAACTATTAGCCGATCGGACGGCTAATATTAGTCAAACAATATCTAACGGCCTGAAATCAATAAAACATGCTATAAAAGGTAAAAAAAAACCCAATTTTTTAGGGTTTGTCATTTGTTCTCTCAGCATCTTCTCACTTCTCTCTCCCACCGATTCATCTTTCTCGACCCTTCACCTGACCTTTCGTTTTATTTTTTTATTTTTGTTTTAATTTGAACGAACTCAGCTCATGATAATAGATTTTTATGAGAATCTATGTCGATTACGACATGATGCATATTGTTTTGAGCACGGATTCGAAAAACTTGATATGGGCTTTTTCAGTTTATTATTTTTT